AGAGGGAGCGGTTGTGGCCGTCTCCACCTGTTACATAAGGACATATTTTATTCATTCTAGAGTATATATCGTGTTTCTATGTTATTTATATTGTCTGTTATGTCATATTAGATGAACTGCGATATATAAATAAGCTGTATAGATGATATTAGCGAAATTATTCATGAAGAATTTTGCCCGGTGTCCAGACAAACTCTCGTCCACCGCCGACACCGCCCATACCACTGCATGAATGACATATTTTATTCATTCTAGAGTATATATCATGTTTCTATGTTATTCATATTGTTTGTTATGTCATACTAGATGAACTGTGATAGATAAATAAGCAGTATAGATGATATTAGCGAAATTATTCATGAAGAATTTTGCCCGGTCTCCAGACAAACTCTCATCCACCGCCGACACCGCCCATACCACTACATGAATGACATATTTTATTCATTTTAGAGTATATATCAGGTTTCTGTGTTATTTATATTGTTTATTATGTCATATTAGATGAAGTGAGATAGATAAATAAGCCATAGAGTTGATATTAGCGAAATTATTGAAGTACAGAATTCCACTGGAACGGATTAATTGCATTTCAATTAATTTAAATGAGGAAAATTGATTCCGCAAACGAGCAAAACCAGTTGCGAGCAAGATCATGGAACGGATTAAACTCGCAAGTAGAGGTTCCACTGTATATTCAAATGTAGTCACTGGACATGTTCCTAGAAGTTCTGCAGCTTGTGGAACTCTTTGAAACATGGTGTCATACACAATGGTGTTTTACACTCCTCACACATAAAACGAGTGTCTACATTTTTGTGGGCTTTTTTTTTTATGTGCATAGACAGGACAACTCATCTGAGTAGTTTTCTTCATAGTAGTAGCAGACAGTTGTGTTAGGTAGTTATACTAGTTAAATGTGTCATCATTCCTTCCTGTCTTCATTCTTTCTTTCTTCATGCTATTATCTTCAGCAAGCTTGTGTTGTGTGTGAGTGGGTGGACTTCTAAATGTGCTGAGTCAGGGTCTAGCAGCTGTCAGAATGACATATTGTATCATTACTCACTCCCCCTACCGCCTGTCAAAACAATGGGGTCAGATGCTAGCTTCCGACCCCATTGTGAACGTGTCACTGGGAAAAGTTGTGAATATCAGTGGTATACAGTACTGACAAGTACTAAAAGTTTATGAATATCAGTGGTATACACTACTGACCATAAGTTGAATTAGACATGTATGAAACATCTGGGTTCTTTATTTGAGACTTTCCCATCCATGATTTTAAAATGCAAAAAAAATCGGGTAACAGTCACTCAGCCTGGAAATGTGATAAAACACCATTGTCTTCAAACAACTGTTTGTACCTGTTCAGACCCGATATTTGTCACCTGTCTTCAAAAAACCGGGTCTTATCACATGTCTTCAACAGGGGTGTTAATCACCTCCCGGGGCTGAGGGACTCTTTTACCTCTTTTTTACTTCTTTGAATGTATTTCTTTGTTCAGTTAATGTCCTTATACAGTGGACCCCCGCATAACGATGGCATCACATAGCGTTTATTTCGCATACCGCTTCTTTAATCGAAAAAATTTTGCCGCGATACCAAAAAAAAAAACCCGCTCAACTTTTTTGTCCGAGACGCTCCAATGTGCGCCCTAGCCCCCTAAAATGTGCCCCCCGTCCTTTGTTTACCAGCCACCTCCGCGGTAACATCCAACATACCCCGGGAAATATTTCGTATTATTACAGTGTTTTGGGTGCTTTTCGGGAAAAATAATGCCCCATGGGCCCCAAGAAAGCTTCTAGTGCCAACCGTACACCAATAAGGGGTGAAAAATTCCCCCTTTGAAATGAAGAAAAAATCTTTGAAAAGTATGAAAGTGAGTGCGTATCGCCGACCTAGTCAAGTTGTACAAAAAACCCCCCAAATAAAACCACGCTACTATTTGGGCACAAAAGACAATCAAGGAAGTGTTTTTGCCAAAGGTTTAACTGTGTTTTCGAAACAAAGATCGAAGTGATGGAAGATGTTAGGACTCTTATTTGGTGGGGATAAAAAAAAAACAGCTAGCGGGAGAAGGTCTCTCAAGCGTCTATGTAAAAAGCTGGAAGTTGCGTGAGGATTTAATTAAAAAAATGCCTGCAACTAGTAATGATGTGAGTGTTTTTAAAGGGGCCAGAAAAAGGTTGGTTTGAAATTTAAGAAGCGAGTGGCATCCATAGTGTGATAAGGGCATGGTGAGGCGCCAGTTCGGACCACAAAGCGGCTGAAAAAAATGTGCAAAATTTTCAAGGGTACATAGACGTGAAGGACTAAAACCCTGAACAAGTTTTTTAATTTGGAAAAACGGGCCTGTTCTGAAGAAAAATGCCAAGCAGGACCTACATTACTCAGGAGAAAAGGCACTCCCGGGACAAAGCCTATAAAAAGACAGGTTTACTTTGTTGATGTGTGCCAATGTATGTGATTGCAAAGTTAAGCCTTTATTATGTACATCTGAAACTCCCAGAGCTTTCGGGCAAAAGAAGTCCTCAAGGAAAATTTTTGTGTGTGCTGTGGGGGGCCAAACAGTAAGGCAGGGGTCACTAGGATTTTTTTTTATAACGGGGTTACACATGCATTTCCCCCCCAATGTGAAAAAATTACCTAACTGAAAAGAAATTAGAACTTTAAATCCTCCTGGGGTTAGACAATGCCCCTGGGCATCCTACAACGTGGCGAGCGACTTTATGGGGGCATGAGCTTCATTAAGGTAAGTTTTTGCCTCCCAATACCCTCCTCTCCGCAGCCCCTGGACCAGCAGTTATTCAACTCAAAAAATGTACACAAAGCTCGTTTTTAAAGGTGCTTTGTATGACCTCAAAACTCAACTACTCTAAGAGAGTTTTGGAGAGCATTTAATATCCTCAATTTGGGAAACCTTTAGGTAAGGGTTGGGAGGGAGTGACAAGAAGCCTTAACTCTGCTTGAAGAAACTGTGGCCAAATGTGTAACAAAAGGGATTTTGAAGGATTTTTAGGCTAAACCTGAGAATCCTTGCCAGTGAGGATCCATTGTGGGGATTGGGAAAGTCCTTGGGGTTGGAGGTTATGGGTAGGATTTTGGAAAATTGGTGGGGGGAGGACAATGAAAAACTAACCATGATGAGCGAAGATCAAATTCAAGAGCAAGAGGCCAGACCCCGGGAAACTGTTCGAGGAGGGGAGAGAGAAATTGAAAGGTTTTCCTACTAAAAGATAAAGGGGAAACTGTGCAAAGTGGCTTGAAGGAAAAACCTTCTGGATTTTAAAATCACCCTCACACAGCTATTGCAAACCTGTGGTGATTATTACACGACAATGTTGTGAAAAAAACTTTAGGCAAATCTAAAAAGGAAAAGAGAGGGAAAAGGCCACTATGGACGATATCTTGTGGAAAAAAAGCCAGGACTCGAAGCTGGCCTAGTGGCATTAAAGAAAAAGGGAAATAACCCCCGAAAAAAGGTTGTACCTAAGTCCCCAAAGGGAAAGGGGGTTCCCCTTTAAACATAACACTCTCTCTCCCCCCCTCCCTCCCCTCAATCTCACCGATCTTCAATAAAATAAGGGCATGAATTTGGTCATTTTTTCATTTGTGTGATTAAAAATTAAAATTTCTGTGGTAAAAAATTTTTTTTTTTTATACTTTTGGGGTCTTCACGGATTAATTTTTTTCCTTATTTTCTTATGGGGAAAAAATTTATTACAAAGTTATTTTGCTAACAAATTTCCCCTCTTGCACGGATTAAAACTTAACCGGGGGGGCCACGATTTTATTTAAAAAGCCTCTGGTTGGTGAAACCATCTACAAATAAAATCTCCAATGTGCATTGTCTGCTTCTTTCTTTGTTCCATTTTCAATTCATCAATTAAGCACCCTTATTTCACATTTTTAATTTTTGATATTTATGTTATTTTGTCTATCATAGGGGTTTTCAAAAACTTCCTCCACTTTTCAGAGAAAAGTCAAGCCCAAAAAATTAATTAACAAGCCTTAACTATAGACATAACCGATAAAAAAAATATCTTTCTTTGTCCTTCTTGTCTCTCATTCTCTCCCTCATTCTCTCCCTCATTCTCTCTCTCATTTTCTCATTTTCCTTCATTCTTCATTCTCCTTCATTCTTCTGGTATCCTGGGCATTGCTTTTGGTCACAAACTCCTGAAAACCATGAAATTGATCTTCACTGACACTTCCATCTGTGTTAGAGCATCATTTGGGAAGAGAAGAGTCCCAGATTTGCCAGGGAATCACTTATTTCTTACCTCTAGGCATGATGAACAAGGGCTACTGAAATGGCATTCCCACAATGCACCACTGGCTCCCCGATTTTTTTTATATGGTGCACACTGCCCATGGAGACCCATTCTCTCACATGTGGGTCTACCAGCTTTCTCCTGCTTGATTTGAAGTCGCTAGAATTTTGGCGTATTAATACGTCAAACACATTGGCTCATAAGACGTATATATACAACCAAAACAGTCAAAGGGATAAATTCTTGGACCGTAGCTCACACTTTGACATTTGGCCTCTGGACCCTGAAAGGGTTAAGTGAGGAGAGGCTGTAATAGTCTTACTTTTAAAATTGTACCATTTGTTCATTAGCTATTTTTCTTGTTGCACATGTGATATTGTACATATTGTACATATGATTGTAGTTAACTGCATAAGAAGTCTTTCATAATGGTCTATGTCTAGTTCTTAAGCATTAGGATTAGTTTACCTGAAATGCATCACACACTAGTGACTTTCTTTTATGCCTAGCAATCTTTGCATTACATGCATACTGCATTATTTTTGTACCGCATAAAAAATAGAAAATTTGTATTTGTGTTTGTATGTGAGTAATATCTATGTAGTACATTGTACTGTTACTTTTATACAGTGTTAAACATAGCATTTTTTTTTCCAGAAAGTTATTTTTATCATTTATTGTTAATGTAATGTTTTTTACTAAAGCCTTTTTTTTTTCTGTATTTGCAGATAGACGAAGCACCAAATGTTCGAAACCTATTTTCCTCACTTTTGCAACATAAAAAGCCAATAGTAATGCACAATGGATTGATTGACTTAGCATTTCTATACCAGTCATTCTATGCTGATCTTCCCAAGAAGATTGAAACATTTGCTGCTGATCTTTCTGACATGTTTCCTGCTGGAGTCTATGACACAAAGTATGTTGCTGAGTTCCACCAGTCTATGCCTGCTACTTACCTGGAGTATTTATATAAGAAAATGTAAGTATATTCCGTCCATTGAATATGGACGTGCCTATGCAGTGCTTGTATTAATTTATCAACTAAGATTTCCAGTGTGTATGAATTTATTGTCTTTAGTTTGTCATCCTCTTCCTTCTTATTTAGCATATAAAAAATTAAGTACAATATGTGTTATTGTTGGAAAGCTGTCTTTATATCTTCTTGTGTGTGTGTGTGTGTGTGCATGCAAGGGGAGTGGAGTGGAATGAGATGAATACCTTCTTTTGTGATAAAATCCTCACAGAATGTTATCCATAAGAATCTGACTTCTCAGTGCTCCATTATGTAAAGATTAACTTGGGTACTTGGGAAGTTTTTGAATGCAGAACAAAATCACCTACTATTAATAATGATGACACTGGCATTGTTAACCCTTTGACTGTCACAGCCGTATATATACGTCTTACGATGTACCGTGTTTGACGTATATATACTCATAAATTCTAGCGGCTTCAAATCAAGCAGGAGAAAGCTGGTAGGCCCACATGTGAGAGAATGGGTCTGTGTGGTCAGTGTGCACCATATAAAAAAAATCCTGGAGCACGCAGTGCATAATGAGAAAAAAAAAAACTCCGACCATTTTTTTAATTAAAATGACGAATTTGTGGTCTATTTTCGTATAGTATTTATGGTTGTATTCTCATTTTCTTGGTCTCATTTAATAGAATGGAAAACATATTATAGAAATAGATGTGATTTTGATTGATTTTACTATAAAAAGAACCTGGAAATGGAGCTCAAAGTAGGGGAAATGTTTGATTTTTGCCAATGTTCAAAAGTAAACAAATGATGTCATTGTCCAATAAATGTCCAACTAGCCATTCTAATATGCAGTCATGAATTGGTTTTATGTTATTTATACAATTATTACAGTATTGCAGTAGTCTGCATAATAGTAAGTCTTCTATTTTTTGTTTGAAAAAAAATTCAAAATAGAAAGCAAGAGTAATATCAGAGGGGCCTGGAGACATGACTGATGAACAAAGAAAATGTTATTTTAGAACCAGAAATGTCTGCATTGTTCATTCTGGACCTTATTTTGAAATTGTCATATTTTTTTAATTTTTGTGAAATTGGCCAAATTGCAAATTTCTGACCACATTATTGGGTAGTTGAAATCGGTAAATGGGCAGTTTCTTGTACTCAATTGATAGAAAAAATTAAGTTCTAAAGAAATAGCTATGAGTTTGGTCGACTGGAACAATGGAATTAGCCGAAAAAAGGGCTCAAAGTGGGCGAAATCACCGATTTGTAAATATCGCCGAGGTTGCTAACTTCGCGAGAGCATAATTCCGTCAGTTTTCCATCAAATTTCATTTTTTTTGGTGTCATTACAATCGGGAAAAGATTCTCTATCATTTCATAAGAAATTTTTTTTTTTTTTTTTTTTTCTTAATTTTTTGACACCAGGAGACACCTCAGGATTGGGGGATGCGACAGTCAAAGGGTTAAATGTTGCTTCAAACTCACTGAAGGATTTTTTGAAAATCATACTGGTGTATGCTGTTCTTGATTAATGTGTGTACTGTGTCATACTGTATGATAAATATAATTTTTCTTTCGATAAATATAGTACAGTAGTCCCCTTGCATCCACTGGGGATATGTTTCAAGCTCCACTGTGGATACCTGAAACTGTCGATAGTAGTAAACCCTATATATGTGTCATTTTTTGTTTACATATATACCCATGATAAAGTTTAACCCTTAAACTGTCCAAACGTAGATCTACGTTTTTTCAGCATTTGAAAGTATGTAAAAAAAACATAGAGCTTCTTTTTCTTTTTTTACATTTGAAAACGTGTAAAAAAACTTTGATCTACTTTTTTTTTTGTTATATATTTGAAAATATGTAAAAAAAAGTAGATCTACTTTTGGAGCACTACACATGTGAATGTAGATCTGTTTGGACAGTTTAAGGGTTAATTGATAAACTAAGCAAAATAATTCTAGAATTAGCACTTTTTTACTGATTGCTAGCATTTCATAACTTAGGCTTTGAAGAACTGCTAGTATCACTACTTTTGCACTCTGGGGCCATTATTAAGCAAAATAAAGGGTTATTTTGGGTCAGATTAAACCATGGATAACTGAAATTGTGGATATTGAATCTGTGGATATAGGGGTTCTACTGTGCTATACATACCTTTGACGAGTTCTGAGAGTTTTTCTGTAACTTCCTTTTACTCCAACAGGCAGCTAAGGAATGCTCGTCGAGGGAAAATGGGAGACTGGCATATACGAATGCAGTTTCCACCTTATCCAAAAAGTCTGCCAAATGTTGACTGGCATCCCTATCTTCAGATTCATAATTATTGTGTAGAGAAGGACGATGATGGCCTTGATATGTGTGAGATGTTTGCAGTAAGTTACTTAACCCTTAAACTGTCCAAATTTAGATCTACATTTGTACCGCTAGCTCTCCAAACGTAGATCTACGTTTTATTTTTCCTGCCTCCAAATTTGGCACGATTGGCCTGAGATGCCTGGTCAGTATAGAATGAGTCTTAACACTCAGTGTGTGTAGTATTAAAAAATCTGGGAGGGTGGATGCAGGAGGAAAGAGGAGTGATTGGTGGAATGATGAGGTAAAGGGTATGATAAAAGAGAAAAAGGTAATGTACGAGAGTTTTTTAAAAAGCAGAAGTGATATAAGAAGGGCACAGTATATGGAGAGTAAAAGAAAGGTGAAGAGAGTGGTGAGAGACAGTGCAAGAAGTGAGCAAATGATAGAGTGGGAGAGGCACTGTCAAGAAATTTTGCTGAGAATAAGGAAAACTTTTGGTGTGAGATAAACAGGTTAAAAAAGCCGAGGGAATGAATGGATTTGTTAGTTAAAAACAGAGTAGAGGAGTTAGTAGATGGGGAACTGGAGGTATTGGGTAGATGGCAGGAATATTTTGAGGAACTTTTCAATGTTGATGAAGAAAGGCGGTAATTTCATGCACTGGCCAGGGAGGTAACATAAGGATGTGAAGAAGGAGGATTAGTGTGCAGGGGGCTGCTGGCCATATGTAGGAAAAGGGCGTGTAAATCAGCCAAACTAAAATACAAATTTAAAACCCATGATTTTTGATGGTACCAATAAATGTCTGAAAGAGAAAAGTACCTAAATTTCCAGAGTCTTCAGTTCATGTATTTAAAGAAGGTGACAAAGAGATTGAAAATTTTAGGCAAAGTCCTACCTGAGTAACCTAAAGTAGGTAGGCTGTTTATTTCATCAATAACCAAATTTCAAAACCCAAGGACTTTACAAGGGTAGGTTTTAAAGATCTAAATGTTATCTAATTTGAAGATATTACGGGGTAATCTATTTAGATAAGCTAGGGGACCTTTTATTCCCATTTATTTAGAAATGGCATATCACATAATAGAGAAGCTGTCAGATGTTCGTGTAAAAGGAATGTAAGTTAAAATTTTAAAAAAATTTTTTAAAGGAAGATCTTCAGTGGGTGTGTATGGAAAAAGGGGTTAGTCTCCTCCGAATGTTTTCTAACAGAATTTATGTCCCATTTTGTATATACGAGACCAGAACTGAGCTGCATAACAAGTGAGGCTACTTATGAATGAGGTATAAAGCTGAGTATGACCCGGGACTTCTTTTTGCTTACACTTCTTGATATAAATCCCAGTAATCTATTTGCCTTATTACGTACGCTTAGGCATTGCTGTCTTGGTTTAAGGTTGTGCTCACCATAACCCCCAAGTCCTTTTCGCAATCTGTATGGCTAAGTTCTACATCATTTAATTTATAAGTACTAGGGTTATGGGCACTCCCAAGCTTCAGAACCTTGATTATCTACATTGAACTGCATCTGCCATTTTCTGACCAAGAATAGAGTTTGTTTAAATCCTCCTGAAGTTCCCTAACATCTACGTTTGAATCAATTATCCTACCTATCTTTGTGTCATCGGCGAATTTGCTCATATCACTAGTAATTCCCTCATCAAGATCATATCTTTTAGGAGTGAAGAAGAGCAGGATGTGAGTGTGGAGGAGATGCATGAGGCATTATGTAGAATGAAAGGGGGGGTAAATCAGCTGGAACTGATGGGATTATGACAGAAATATTAAAAGCATGGGAGGGTATAGTGTTGGAGTGGTTGGTATTTTTGTTTAATAAATGTATGAAAGAGGGAAAAGTACCTAGGGATTGGCAGAGAGTGTGTATAGTTCATGTATGTAAAGGGAAGGGGGACAAAAGAGATTGCAAAAATTGTAGGGGGAGAAGTTTACTGAGTATACCAGGTAAAGTGTATGGTAGGGTTATTATTGAAAGAATTAGAGGTAAGACAGAGAGTAGGATTGCAGATGAACAAGGAGGCTTTAGAATGGGTAGGGGATGTGTAGATCAAATGTTTACATTGAAGCATATACGTGAATAGTATTTAGATAAAGGTAGGGAAGTTTTCTTTGCATTTATGGATTTAGAAATGGCATATGATAGCATGAATAGGGAAGCAATGTGGCAGATGTTGCAAGTGTATGGAAAAAGTAGTAAGTTACTAAATGCTGTAAAGAATTTTTATAAGGATAGTGAGGCTCAGGTTAGGGTGTGTTGGAAAGAGGGGGATTACTTTCCAGTAAAAGTAGTTCTTAGACAGGGATGTGTAATGTCACCATGGTTGTTTAACATATTTATAGATGGGGTTATAAAAGAAATAAATGCTAAGGTGTTGGGGAGAGGGGTAGAATTAAATTATGAGGAATCAAATACAAAATGGGAATTGACACAGTTACTTTTTTCTGATGATACTGTGCTTTTGGGAGATTCTAGAGAAAAGTTGCAAAGGTTAGTGCACGAGTTTGGGAGGGTGTGAAAAGGTAGAAAGTTGAAAGTGACCTTAGATAAGAGTAAGGTGATGAAGGTATCAAATGATTTAGATAAAGAAAAATTGAATATCACATTGTAGGGAGGGAGTATGGACGATGTGAATGTTTTCAGATATTTGGGAGTTGACTTATCAGTGGATGGGTTTATGAAGGATGAAGTTAACCATAGAATTGATGAAGGAAGAAAGGTGAGTGGTGCATTGAGATATCTGTGGAGACAAAAAATGTTATTCATGGAGGCAAAGAACGGAATGTATGAGAGAATAGTGGTACCAACACTTATATGAGTGTGAAGCATGGGTTGTAAATACTGCAGCAAGGATGCGGCTGGAGGCAGTGGAGATGTTGTGTCTAAGGGCAATATGTGGTGTAAATATTATGCAGAGAATTCATAGTGTGGAAATTAGGAGGTGTGTGGAGTTACTACAAGTATCAGTCAGAGGGCTGAAGAGGAATTGTTGATGTGGTTTGGTCATTTAGAGATAATGGAACAAAGCAGAATGACTTGGAGAGCATATAAATCTGTATGGGAAGGAAGGTAGGGTAGGGGTTGTCCTCAAAAAGATTGGAGGGAGGGGGTAAAGGAGGTTTTGTGGGCAAGGGGCTTGGACTTCGACCAAGCATGCATGAGCATTAGATAGGGGTGAATGGAGACGAATAGTTTTTGGGACCTGACAAGCTGTTGGAGTGTGTGTATTTTAATATTTTGTGAAGGGATTCAGGGAAACCGGGTAGCCATAGTGAGTGAGTCCTGGAAATGGGAAGTACAATGCCTGCACTTTAAGGGAGGGGTTTGGGATATAAGAACATAAGAAAGGAGGAATACTGCAGTAAGCCTGTTGGCCTATACTAGGCAAGTTCTTCACAATCCATCCCACTAAACTTGTCTAATTTGACTCCATTATTGTGGGTTCTCTCTTGGAGAGATATCCTCAAGACCCTATATATATCCCCTTTGTTAATACTCATCTTCCACTTATACACTTCGATCATGTCTCCCCTCAAAGGGACTTCAATCTTTCTTCGTACGGAAGATTTCTAATGCTATGTATTAGCTTTGTCATTCGTCACTGAATGTTTGGAGGGGCATCTAAACTACCCTGTCTGAGCGCCTCTGCAAAGACAGTGATTGTGTATGAGCAATGGTGAAAGTGTTGAATGATGATGAAAGTTTTTTTCTTTCTTTTTGGGTCATCCTGCCTTGGTGGGAAATGGCCAACGTGTTAAAAAACAAAAACAAAAAAAAGTGAAATGGCTATTGGAGTGTGAGCAGGGTAATATTTTGTGAAAGGATTCAGGGAAACTGGATGGCCAGGCTTGAGTCCTCGAAGTGGGAAGTACAGTGCCTGCACTCATAAGGAGGGGTTTGTGATATTTACTGTTTAGAGTGACGTCTAAACTGTCATAACTCTGCACCTCTGCCAAGCTTTCTTCATTTGGGGTGTTACCAAGCACCATGGCTTGTAGTGTTTTTGAATCTCAGGTTAAAGTCTTGAAGGAGGAGGTTCTACCTCTTCAGGAGGAAAATAGGAGGCTGAAGCTTCACCTATATGGGTCTGGGAGTGAGTGAGAGATGGATGGAGCTGGTAAAGAGGAAATGGTCACCAGCTGTGAGAGTGGCAGCTTCTTTAAGTGGCAAGTGGTTCACAGCTCAGTAAGAAGGAAGATAAGGAAGGTTAACCCTTACAGGGTCAAGAGGTCCTCTCTTAAATTTGTTCCGAGGATCAAAAATTATTTTCATGAAAAGACAGAGAATCTTTTCCTGATCATAATGACACCAAAAGTATGAAATTTGATGGAAAACTTATGGAATTATGTTCTCGCGAAGTTAGTGGTCTCGACGATGTTTACACATTGGAGATTTCGCCCACTTTGGGCCCTATTTTCGGCCAATTGCCGTGTACTAGTCAACAAAAATCATAACTATGTATTTCGCTAGCATAGGCAATGGGGTCGAAGAGGTATGGGGTAGGTTTAAAAATGTAGTGTTAGAGTGTTCAGCAGAAGTTTGTGGTTACAGGAAAGTGGGTGCAGGAGGGAAGAGGAGCGATTGGTGGAATGATGATGTAAAGAGAGTAGTAAGGGAGAAAAAGTTAGCATATGAGAAGTTTTTACAAAGTAGAAGTGATGCAAGGAGGGAAGAGTATATGGAGAAAAAGAGAGAGGTTAAGAGAGTGGTGAAGCAATGTAAAAGAGAGCAAATGAGAGAGTGGGTGAGTTGTTATCAACAAATTTTGTTGAAAATAAGAAAAAGTTTTGGAGTGAGATTAACAAGTTAAGAAAGCCTAGAGAACAAATGGATTTGTCAGTTAAAAATAGGAGAGGAGAGTTATTAAATGGAGAGTTAGAGGTATTGGGAAGATGGAGGGAATATTTTGAGGAATTGTTAAATGTTGATGAAGATAGGGAAGCTGTGATTTCGTGTATAGGGCAAGGAGGAATAACATCTTGTAGGAGTGAGGAAGAGCCATGTTGTGAGTGTGGGGGAAGTTCGTGAGGCAGTAGGTAAAATGAAAGGGGGTAAGGCAGCCGGGATTGATGGGATAAAGATAGAAATGTTAAAAGCAGGTGGGGATATAGTTTGGAGTGGTTGGTGCAATTATTTAATAAATGT